AGTGTCCAGTCAGTGTGTCTGTGCTGTGTTAACCCCTCTCTCTCCTTCAGGTACAGTCCATACAGCTGGAGAGGGAGATGTGTTTGGCCTCCAACCGCAGTCTGGCAGAGAGAAACCTGGAGCTCCGGCCCAGGCTGGAGGAGGGGCGGGAGAGACTGGGAGAGAGATACAGAGAGCTGAGGGAGTTGCATGACCGCTACAGGGGCTGCTGCCAGGAAAGAGGTAAGAGCGAGACAAGAGAGACGGAGAACGAGTCTCACTTCTCTTGCCTCTGCAAGCAGTTCCCCAGGGTCAGAGAGACAGGAGGATCTAAGGAGGCCTGCAGAATTGTGACGCACTAAGTATTTCAAGCCTTTCAGTCCTGCTGCAGACCCAGAGAGACGGATTAAAGCAGTATTAGACCTGATTAGCCGATGTCAGATCTTCATCCTGTAGATCTCACAGGCCCTTTTACATGTCTAGTGACTGAAAATAAAGTGCAGTTTAAGATCTAAAAAAGAGTGGCAAAGGTGTAATACAGGAACCCTACAGATCAGATAACAGCTGTTTTAGAGCAGGTCTCTGTGTAAATGTTGTTTAAACTGCGTGCTGTGCTGCTGTATTCCCCTGGTCAGTCCTGTAACTGCTGTGGCTGAGCTGGTGGGACCTTGTCACAGCACTCAGTCTGTTTCTGAGCAGCTCTAGGACAGGGGAGGGGAGGGGGAGACGGAGAGAGGGCAGTGAGGAGACACTGATCCAGTGTTAATACAGTCACTGTTTCCAGTCAGATTTTTATTGGTGTCTGGACACCAGTCTAATCCAGACACAGTGCCTGTGTTCACACCTGCATCTGTATCAACACAGGCAGTGTGTCTGGATTAAGTTGGTGTCCTGACACTGGTTCAAGTGTATAGTCTGAACCTGTATAATTCAGATGCAGTGATTTGTCAGTGCCCTAAATGGATGCCTGTCTGTGTGTATCTGCAATAATGAAAGGACTCACTAGGCATTGAGGTCTTGGCCACACTTTGGTAAAAGAGCACTGTAATAAACTCTCTCTGCAGACAATAAGCTCAGTCAGTTCTCTCCAGAGTTGGTCTTCTTGAAGCTGGAGGCAGAGGGCGCTACTGTTGAGACAGAGTCCGAGGTGAGCTGCTGTTGCCTCTTTTTTGTATCTCCTGTTTGCAGTTTATATCTCTGTCTCTTTCTACCCCTCTCTCTCAGTGCAGTGTTAATGTCCTGTAGTGTCCAGTCAGT